TGTGATCCACATCGTGAAGGTCTACGGCTTCCTTGAGATGCAAGGTGAAAGCTCGGCTGACTTCATTGAAGGCCTCGCTGAGAAATGGCTGAGTGACAAACCCAAGCCTCGCACCCTCATCCCGGACAATGCGACAGCCTTCAAAAGCCGAGAAGTACATGACTTCTGCAATCAAGTCGGCATCCAGTTGACCTTCCCTGCCGAGAAGGAATCATGGGCGCATGGCATTGTCGAGTCCGCGATCAAAGACATCAAGATGACAGCATCGGCCATCCAGATAGATCAACCATCTCTGGATCCAAAGGTCACTCTCATGCTTTCAGCTGCAGCTCTGAACTCCACCGAGTACACCAAGGGCTACAGCTCCTATCAATGGTGCTATGGCAAGGACTATACTTTGGAGGATGAAGACATTCGCACCTTCCACGATCCTCTACAAGATGGCAACAGCATGTCCTATGAAGCTCTGGTCAGAGCTAGACAAGATGCTGAAGCTATTGCTCGCAAAACACGAGCACTACGTGTGATGAGTCGATTGAAGAACAGCACTGTTCGACAACCTCTTCGAACCTTTCACCCGACACAGCTGGTCAAGGTGTGGCGACGTGAATGGCCCGCTCATCTCCATCAAGGCAAACGTGGTGGAGGCAGAAAGGCCGTAAAACCACACTGGATTGGACCTGGCAGAGTGATCTTCCATGAAGTTCTACTTCATCAAGATCATGAAGATGAACGACGACACATCGTCTGGGTGCTGATTGGAACTCAGCTGATGAGGTGCAGTGTCCACTCCGTTCGACCAGTCACCACGACTGAACAGATGGCCTATGAGATTGCCAACAAGGACGACCCAACTCAGTGGCGTTCGATTGCCGATCTTCTCCCCCAGCGAGACTTCACAGATCTCACCGACCAAGTCTCGGGAGAACATGAACAAGAAGAACCTGATCTACCAGATCAACCCGATCCTGATCAAGCTCTTGTACCTCTTCGAAGAGCTGGCTTCAAGCAGCGTGTTCCTCCTTCTGGCATGGTTCCGGCTGCAGTTCGCCGCCGACTACAAGAGCTGGAAGACACGGGAGAATATGAACCTTCCATACCGGATGAACCGGCACCTCCTGATCCTTCCATCGAGGTTGTGAATGACTACGGCGCTGGCAGTGCACCCTCTACTGGACCTCCAGTTCCAACAGCTCCAGCAGAGGAACCTTCATCAATCGTGCCTCCTGATGAGAAGCGGAGGAAGACGGACCATGACGATTCTGATCTCTTCAACGCGTCTTCCAGGCAACTGCCCAACTACAGTGATGTCAATTGGCTCGACAATATGGTCGTCGAGGAAGATCAAAGCTGGGAGTGTTTCGAAACCATTTTGGACGACAACCCCGATGTGATGACCATGGAATTTGAGCTCAACTTCACCTCCAACAGGCAGCAAAAGATGTTCCTTCGCAACCCAACCGCATTCCTGGTCAAGAAGATGAGAGACTCTGAGGTGATCTTCGGCAAACTCTCTGCTGAACATCGTGCTCTCTTCATCCGGGCAAAGACGAAGGAAGTCAACAGCTTCATCCAGAATCAAGCAGTCCGCAAGAGCCTGGATGATGCGGAGACCAAGACCGCCCTCAGCTCTGGCAGAATTCTCCGAGCCAGATGGGTTCTGACTTGGAAGCTGATTCCTCCTGAAGATCGTGCAGCTGCTCGCCAAGATGGAATGACTAATCCATCAACTGTGCACACCAAGGAGGGCGACAAAAAGGCCAAGGCCCGCATCGTGCTCTTGGGCTATGAGCATCCTGAGCTTGGTTCCACCTCCTACAGGACAAGCTCTCCGGTGCAGTCGGTCATTGCCAGAAACCTTCTGTACCAAATCACATGCCAACATGGCTGGAAGTTGGAAGGTCTGGATCTGGCAACCGCCTTTCTTCAAACACGGCCAACTTCGGCTGATGAAGAGATGTGGACCAGTGGCGTTGCTGAGCTTCGTGAAGCTCTACAAGTCGGACCCGAAGGCATCATGAAGATCCTCAAGAACATCTACGGCAGCACCACGGCGCCGAGAGGCCTATGGCTCGACCTGCATCGCACCCTATGCTCACTTGGTGGCCGACCGGCCATGGGAGAAAGGTGCTTGTGGCTATGGGCAAGCTCAACAGAAAAAGATGCAGCCGGTCATCCCAAGATCATCGGCATGATGGGCGGACACGTAGACGACTTCCACCGAATTGGTGACCCATCCAGCTCAGAGTGGTCCTCCATATGCGCCCGCATCGACAAGGCGTACCAGTGGGGATCAGCAAAATGCAATGAGTATCGCCATGCAGGCACTGATGTGAAGGTCACCCTGGACAATGATGGTGACCAGGTGATCACTGTGAACCAGCAGTACTACATCGACATGCTCACCGATGTCGAGATTCCTGTTGAACGCCTGCGTGATGAAGCCACACCACTGTCCAAACAGGACCTTGCAGCTTGCAGGGCAAGCTTAGGCGCGCTGCAGTGGCTTGCTGTGCAGACACAACCACTTCTATGTGGCCGGTGCAATATACTGCTCAAGGCCAAGACCTGGCGTGACGTCTGCATCATTACTTTTGCAGACCAAGCCCACGTGAACAGGCCTGGTGGCGACTCCACGGGAGGCATCATCACGATGCTCGCTGGCCCTGAGGCCAAATCCGGACAGGTGTGCCCCATGGTTCTCCTTCAGTGGAGGGCCTGGAAGCTGAAGCGCAAAGCGATTGGTTCCAATGACGCAGAAGTGCAGGCGGTGCTTGAGGGCGAGGACGCCAACTTCCGCGTCAAGTTGCTGTGGAGTGAACTTCACGGAGCCGGATGGGACCGTCCGGTCCATGCTGACCAAGTGTCGTGGGCGGAGCAGCAAGCTCGCGACATAACTGGAATCTTGTGCACAGACTCCAGAGGTGGCTACGATGCTGTGCAGGTGAACGAGAGTCCTCTTTTGGGACTCAGTAACCTTCGAAGTGCCCTACAAGCCATGCAATTGCGTGAGAGCATGATGCGAGTTGGCACCTCCTTGAGATGGCTTGCAAGCGATTACGACTTGGCCGACAGCATGACAAAGAAACGACCTGATTGCAGGACAGGTCTCACAAAGTACCCGTCCAAGCGCTTGTGGTGCATAGCATTCGACCCCTCCTTCACCGCTGCAAAGAAGAATGCCAAGAGTGGCCGCACCGCTGTGAGAGCCATAGATGAAGCAGCAAGACCTGATCTTTCCCTTTAGGCTGGTGCAATTTGTGAACCCAGCTTCAGGTCTTGCTTGAGCCTCTGTTTTC